CTAAGTTCAACAAATCTGATTACTGTAGTCCAAGATGTCATTTTGCATAGGGATATTGCTGTTGCTTTCTAGAGTTACAGTGTCAATGTATAAGCTTTGGAATTAAAAACACGTATGAACAGTATATCCTAAAAGTTGCCATACACAAGGAAAACTGCAGATGATGTACCTTTACTTACAAAATATTCATAATAAAGTTTAGCAAAACGGTGGCCAACAAGTAGAGAATATTTTGTATAATTTTGTAATGAATATTTTGTAAGTAAAATACAATTTCCCATTCCTGACCCCCTATGGATGGAGAACTTGGGACACCTCGTGGATGCAGAATTAGTACCACCCATGTATAAGGCACATCCTTGTTTTTCCCTCAAACATCTAGGAAAAAAAAATTACATGTGATATACAGCAAAATACGGTAATTCATGAACAAAGAATTGGACCGTATACTCTTAGCCTTAGGGAGGAGGCTATAGGGGAGGGTACCGAAAACAAATACCAAATTCTTCAGGAGGCTTTGTTTTTGTAGCAACATAAAAGAACCATTTTTGAAACTATTTGGATGGTGTAAAATGGAGCAAATGAGTAAATGGGTCAATGTTGTTGAGATTTAGAATAAAAATAAATAAATTAGAATAAAAAAATTTAGCTGGGTGTCCTGGTGTGGCCCTGTCCTCTCAGCTACTTGGGAGGCTAAGGCAAGAATATTGCCTGAGCCCAGGAGGTGGAGGTTCCAGTGAGCTCTGATGCATCCACTGCACTCTACCAGGGTGAAAAACCAAGACTCTGCCTCAAAAAAGAAAAAAAAAGTGCTAAGTCTGGGTGAAATATTAATGATACTATCAGATGGCTTATTACTAGTGAATTTTAAAATGTGGAGAAATCAAACCAGTCCTTAACTGAGACATTGAAATAAATATAAAAATGAATAGCTTATTCAAAAGCATGGGAAAAAATATTAACTACAGCATAAAGAAAATTATAACAAAGAACCATAGTGGGCTGTGCCATTTTGTCATTCCACCAGCAAAGTTTGAGGTTTTAGGTCTCTGGATCCCACCAGCACTTCTCATTTTAGCTATTCTAGTGGGCGTTTTATGGTATCTAAATAATATTTTAATTTCTATTCTTTTAGAATAATAACGTTAAGAATTTTTAATATACTTTTGGCCATTCATAACAATAATTCTTTAGTGAAATATCTTTCACTAATAGAAATATCTATCTTTCTATTTTTAAATTATTTTGTGTTTCAGTAGACAGCGTTGTAAGAGTTCCTTCTCTGTTCTGGGGAAACATCATTTTTGGTAATGTAGGTTGCAAATATTTTCTTCCAGTCTGTGGTCTGTGTTTTTATTTTTCTAGCAGTACCTTTTAAAGAGTAGATATTTCAATTTTGATGAAGTCAAATTTATCATATTTTTAATTATGCTTTCTGCAAATTATCCAAGAAGTCTATGCTGAACCCAGTGTCACAGAGATTTTCTCTTATAAATTCTAAAAGTTTTATAATTTTAGCTCTTACATCTAGTTCTCTGATCCATTTGAAGTTAATTTAAAATTTTATATAGGAAAGGATCAAAATTCATTTTTTTTGCAAATGGATATCCATATGTTTCAGCATCATTTGTTGAAAGGACTATGCATTATCTACTAAGCACATTTCTCAGTAAGCACATTTGTTAAAAATTAATTGACCACATATATATGTACATATAGATAGATATAGATATATTTCTGAAATTCCCATTTATTCAAGTTTTTGTTAGGAAATAATTCAAATTTACAAAAACTTGCAAGAATCATTCAAAGGTAAACATTTTGCTTCATTTGCCCTCTCTCTTCATGTGTACATGTGTTTCTATATACCTGTACGTATGTATACACACACACATACACGTGGGTCATTCTGAAAGTTTTACAATATGTAAAAATCAAGAAATATAAAATCTGCACAGACAGAAATAATTGAAGCCTTCTTAGCAACAGCAATAAACTGATCCAATTGGAACTTGCAACAGATCAATCCAAAAGGGTGCTGTGGACTGTGCTTCTTACAGGGGAAATAATGGAACATATTGTATCACAGTCTGTCTCAAAACTTCTGTAGTGAACCACATATATGTATATACGTATGTGTGTGTGTTTGTGTATCCACTTATGTATATATGCGCATATATATATATGTAAAAGATATTTTTCTGAATCCTTTGAAAGTAAGGTGAACATATTGTGGTCATTTATCCCTAAGAATACTTCCCTGTCTTCTTAAGAATAAAAATATTATCTTCCACTGTAAAGAAATCTTAGAAAAAAATGGCTCTTGGCTGGGTGCAGTGGCTCGTGCCTGTAATCCTAGCACTCTGGGAGGCCGAGGCGAGTGGATTGCCTGAGCTCACAGGTTTGAGATCAGCCTAAGCCAGAGTGAGACAACATCTCTAAAAATAGCTGGGTGTTGTGGCAGGTGCTCGTAGTCCCAGCTACTCAGAAGGCTGAGGCATGAGAATCACTTGAGCTCAAGAGTTTGAGGTTGCTGTGAGCAATGATGCCATGGCACTTTACCAAGGGTGACAAAGAGAGACTGTTTCAAAAAAAAGGAAGGAAGGAAGGAAGGAAGGAAGGAAGGAAGGAAGGAAGGGCAAAAAAGCCTATTTTCTACATTTGCTACCTCTGTGATAACATAGTCTTTCTTTTTTGCCTTTTCACTTAGTTAAAAACTTTATACCTAGTTATCAATTCTTTACATTAAACTTCCTGTTGAAAATATTTATTTGAAAAAAAATGTCACTGTTGACATGGAAAAGTAGTATAACTTGCTATAATGGGAAAGTGATTATATAACAAAATGAACATTTTTGTAAGTCATTAAATTTAAGCTCGTTATCCTGTGAAATATCTGAATTTTCCCTTTGTCGTAAAACAGACACCTGTAGATGTTAACTAATGTTAGGTGAATAAATAGTCAGTGTACTTTGAACAAGGTAAGATATGTAAACCTTCATCTCGACAACTTTGCTTCTTTCAACATATCCTATTGAAATACGCTGCAAGAGAAAAGTGTCTGCGGATGTTCTTGGCAACACTGATTGAAAATTTTGGTACAGCCTAATGTTTTTCTAATAGAAAAATCAATAATTGAATTATGAAAAGTTCACAATAAGGCATTCTGTGTTCTGTTTAAAGTATGAGATAGATTTTTGTACATTCACAGAGAAGGATATCAAGAACACACTATTTAGGAAAAAAAGAAAGTGTCGCCACAGAAGAGGAGACCAAGATACCATTGCTTTCAGAATAACAAATGTGGGTAGCACCTGTGGCTAAAAGGGGTAGGGCACCGGCCCCATATGCCCTGGCCAAAAACTGCAAAAACATTTTTAAAAAGAGTAACAAATGTATTTGTGTATGTGTTTTTTAAATATACATACATAAAATTAAAATTAAATCAATATTACCAAAGACAAGATATCTTTGTAGACTTAAGTGGAGATGAATTTTCACTTAAAACACTTCACATCTCTTTGTTATTTGAAATGTTTTTGCTAAGTGTTCTAATTTTATGACTTAAAAAAAAAATCAAATGACTATTACTTAAAACAATTAAAATAGTCAACCCAGAAAGAGTTCATACAATGATGTACTGAAAGCACCAGTTTAGAAACTGGTTATGTACCTTCTTTTCTTTATTTTTTAAAATACTGCCTCTTAGTTGCCTTACACAAAACTGTGGAAATAGCATGTCAGTTGATTGGGTGGTTACAGCAAAACAGATGCTGTGATGCTGTGCAAACACAGCAAAAACATAAATAGTCACTTAAGAAACAAGTTATTAAAGCAAGTGATCTGTAATCTGATTGTTCCCTCACCAAAAGCATAGTAGAAGTCACCCTGTATGTACGTATGACTATTATGTTTCAAAGCAAGTACCTGCAACCACAATCATCTTTCTTGACAAATCAAGCTATTTAGAGATTTGGGTTATAGAACAAATATCTTCACAGCTCTTTGAGATCAACACACAAACCTCCATAAACAACCTTTCTCTTATCTTTTAAATTTCTGGACTCCAGAAGAAAAACAAAGCTAATAATGTATTAAGCACTGAATGCTAGACCCTATGCTAAAAATAGACACCTGGAAATGTTAAATAACGTCAATTATAATTCATTATCAAATATCAAATGATAACTTCATTATCAAATAACCCAAAAAGGAAGGTACTACTGTTATTCCCATCTTAAAGATAAACCTCTTGGTGATTAAGTAGCTTGACCAATTTGTTTGTTTGTTTGTTTGTTTGTTTGTTTGAGACAGCGCCTCAAGCTATCCCCCTGGGTAGAGTGCCATGGCTTCACGGCTTACACCAACCTCTAACTCTTGGGCTCAAGTGAGTCTCCTGCCTTAGCCTCCCAAGTAGCTGCGACCACAGGTGTCCGCCACAATGCCTTTTTTTTTTTTTTTTTCAGTTGTTTGTGGGCAAAATATACATGTTTCCTTTTCTATTTAGGAAGACTGGAGTTATTTCTTACATAAAAGCTCATGCTGTTTACATATAGGGCCTACCTTTATTAATTTAAAATATTGTACTTACTGCTATTGTAGCTAGATCTTTAAATCAATAGACATG